GGAGTTAATGAATACCTTGAGCTTTCTGCAAACACAAACACAGTAGCTCATAACATTTGTCGATAACTGCTTAGTGGGAGAAGACAAATTAGTACTAAGAGGTAAATGAGGAAAACTTCTCTGAACATTTATCAATTGCTATTCAAGATCAGCCTTTGATAACTGTCGGATAAATACTACAGGAACTGCACCTGAATTTGCAAGTTCAAGGTTAAATGAGGAATGCCTCTAAACCGACTGAACAACAAGCTATGTGATAGACTAAACTAAGCATTTTATACCACAAAGCAGATGTCTTTGGAACGTTTGTTTGTTGCAGTACACTGACTTACTATCATAAAGGTACTCACTCATTAAGGTGATGTTTATACAGGCTGACACTTACTTGGTGTTTTCCACCAGACCATTGTCCATAATGTTCCATTTCTTCTACCAATTCATCACAAGCAGTGTCAGAAAATATGGGAAACCAAAACACATCTGGACATGGCTACAAAAGAAAACAAACAAACAAACAAACAAAACCCAACAAAGAACTACATTAATCTGTTTCAATATAATTAAGCTTTTAAGCTTTAACAGCTATCTTTTATTTTCAACTACTAAAAAAGGACATCTTCACTTTTCTTGGTCACTAAAGAATATCAGCTGTTCTCATCTGAGCCATAATTCAAATATATGTAAATAATTACTTTTTTGTCTTGATCCACAAGCACATTCTCACAGAATGAAGCAAAAACTGCGAGCTGCCTTGTAAGCCATGACTTAGCATTAACAACTGCATCAGTGTACCCACATATTCTGTGCCTTGGTTGCTCTAAATAAGTGTCTTGATCTTCTACATTAAAAACTAATAAGAAAAACAGATTAAAACTTAACATTGTTTTAAACTCAAATACAATTTATCCTGGTTTCTTAAGGAAGCAAAGATCATTAAATCACTGTCCCTAACTGTCACAGAACAGATCATTTAACACTGGTACAACAATTATAACCTTAGAAGTGCTCTGTCCAGATCAGCTGCATGAAAACAAGCAGCCAGGCAGACAAAAAATGGACCTCTTCATATCCAGCAAAAGGCTTCACCTTGGATTCATGGTTGTCAGATCTCAGAGAATACATAAAGAAAGGCACATCCCAATAAAAGTGTCTAGAAGAACTTGCCTTTATAAAATACCAGGAAACACAGTAATCTGCTACAGAAATTTCACTAGGCCTTCTGCTAGTGGTACTAGCTAGTTCAAAAAAATAAGCAAAATGCATCCATATTTTGGAAAAGGCAATCACTGGGACAACTACATTATTCCGAGCAAACTAGCAATTATTATATCAATTCCTCTCATCTAGTTTTCAAAATGGCAAAGATTCCTTTCAGATCCAAAACATCAAAAAGCTGCTCAGCCACAGACCAAAACAGGATTTGCATGGAAATAGTTACTGTATGCTAATTTATTATCAGTCAGTCCCACAAATTTTAATTAAACTACCTACACTCACCTGTTCTACTATATTATCAGTGAAGATCTTGGAGTAGTTGGGATTTATATAGGTTTCCTTCCAGTCCTAAAAAAAGAAAAAAAATTAAAACATTAAACCAGAATAAATTAATATATAAGTGACAAAAAAATAATTTATATTCTATTCATTTGCTCTATTGAAAGCACTGGACAGAATTAAACAATTTCTTATGCTCATAAACGAACTGGTTCTCATCATGTCAAAAAGCATGAAACCTGTTACATCAGGACCATATCTTCAACTCCTTACTCTGGTCATCAGTTGTCTTGTTGATAGAATATATTGTCATTTGCTTAAACAGTTGGTAGAGAACATCTTTTAGTACACAACCAATATTTAGTGCATAATAAATTAATGTTCTCCATGTAGCCTTTAAATCTCGAGTCCTTTCTAATAAATAACTTCCACAATTCTTTTTCAAACTGTTTAATCAATAACGAGATGCATACCACAGGATTTTCAAATATCTGCCAGAGGTCGTTGTGGTAGTGAGAGGTATTGTAATTGGCTGTAGAAAGAAGTCTTCCAAATTCATGTCTGTTCGTAATGTACATGAAAACACCCTATACCAAGCAGAGAAACTGTCATTAGCAAAACTTTCCATCTTAGCAAAAATTGTTTTTTTTTTAAAGTCTGTTTATGCCTGCACTTTCATAAAATATATCACATACTTGTACACACATATTATACATGTACTGCTCATTTAGTACCTTTAATTTTCAAATGGTTGATTCTAATCACCAACTAGTGTTCATAATTTCTTCTTTACAAGCATTTGATTGAATTTATTTCCTAAACACATTAAACCACAACATACATAGTTTGTAACAAACCACATAAAGTTATAGAAAGGAAAAAACAGAGAAAGAGTTGGTTGATTTGTTTTCCAGAAAACCTAAGCAGACACAGTGGAAGCACCTGTTCTCAAACTGAAAATACTCATACAAGAAAACCAACATGTAGAGTTTATTTTCTGATTAAAAACTGAAAGAACAAGCTAACAATAAAGGGGCTAATGGAAGTCAGAACAAGAAACTTATTTCAGAGTATTCACTACATGATCCTCCTGTGAATTGGCCTGAAATAAAAAGATATTGGCAAATACAGCATAAAAGAATATTCAGATCAGGGTACAAAACAGCTGAGCACTGTGAAGTATGTTTACCTAAGCAAACATTGCAAAATATGTGCAAGTTATCAAGTGTGGTAAGATACAGCTTTATTATCAAGCTATTAACAGAAAATATTAACAAAACTCTCTTGATTAGAGATAGTAGCAGAAAATAGTTCTTTTTAAGAAATTTAGATTTTGTGGGGTTTTTTTCCTTAGTTTACTGTTTTTCAGACTGGAACCTCATTTCAAAACTGTTTGACTTTTAGATTTCCAGCAGATGAAGACATTATTATTTAGATATTTTGGTATTTCTGTCTATGTTTCTGTCTGAAAAAGAGTTAAACTGTTAGAAAGATAATTATTATGTTAAACGTGCCCAATTTTGGGCACTTACCGAATCATAAAATAGCTGCAGCAGGGAGAATAAGGAGGGTCTGGGTCAAGAAAAACAGCTTAAAATTACACCGATTTCATGACTGCCCTGTGTGGTCACTAAGGGGGCCTGGTTGACCTGCTAGTGATTTGAGCTTTAGTCCTTCCTAGGATTGCTGAAACAGTTTTAGCTATGGAAGCAGAGCTTCAGCACACCTTGACCTCGGAAGCACCGAGAAACCTCTCTGAGAAAGCAACAAGCCTCCCTAAGATGTTTTGAGCTGGTCATGAAGAACCTGCACCTGGCAAAAACTTGAACCTTACAAGACTGAAGAGAAAGCTAGAGCAGTATTTCATTAGAGGAAGTGGACAGAGGAGAAGTATCTTCCTGTGGTAGAAGAATACTGCACGTAATAATAACTAATTAATTAAAAAAAAAAAAAAAAAAAAGCAACACCTTTGGGGGTCTGAGCATATGGAATGTTTCCGAAGAAGGGGAGTCTTTTTCCCTTTGTAAAGTCTAAAATGAAGGAGAATCATCACATCAGTTTTCTGATACATAATCTTTCTCTTTTTCCGACTACTATTAGGTTTCCACAGTTACATTAGGGAAATAGCAGCCTTTGATCAACAGCTGATATGCCTTTACAGACAACATGCATCTCCAAGCAAAGCTTATAATATACATGTCAAAGCTGTTTCCACCAGCCCCTTCTTATCTGCTGCAATAGAAAAACAAGCACGTACCAAACCATCTTACAGCACAGACTGAGAAAGAAGAAAAGAGAAAGCACTTTTCTGATGAGCCAGTCAGATTAGTTCAATGAGCGCATGGGAAGCACAGGTTTGCAATAACTGATGCTGAGAAGGTTTGAATACAACAGAATTGGACGGGGATGTTCTGAAGAATCAGTACAAAGGAGATCATGCCTTGTTATGAGGGAATAAAAAAAAATTAATACTTGCCAACTTTTCTTGTTCAATTCAGCAAAATTATTTTTCAATGCTACAGTGTCTGGAAATAGGTCTGGTTTAGGTCTTATTTGTTTCTGTGCTGAAACTAGTGTAAATATCAGTAGAAATGTGGATTTACATATTCATATTTTTACAGTACAAATGCACTTCCTCTCATTACTTACAGGTTAATGCAAGTAACATTTCTGATACAGTTTTAATGTATCTGAAAAAATAAATCAGTAACTCATGCTCCCTAAGTAGATTCGTGCAATTTCATAAATCACTTCGGCTTTTTATATCAACACTGCCCATCATTAGCTCAAATATGTATCTACTTAAATATAAAATTGCAAAATATTCCAACTTAATCTAGTAGAAGTTTCACACTGTATAAAAATGTGAATAATAGAAATAGTCTAAATGCACTGATAAATTTGAAGTTTGTTCAGCAAAGAAGTTGAGTCTTCTTTCATCCTGTTGAGGTTGCACCAACAAGGAAGGTGTTTTAACCTCAACAGGAAATTTCAGTGCATTTAAATAAAAACCATCACGTAGTCAGTGCACCTTGTGCAATGTCCTTGCAAAAACCTCTGTTCTCAGCAATTTAAAGGAATATACCTAAAATGTTCTATGTCACAAAAATTGGCCAGTACTTTGAATTAGAAGTAAAAATTTAATATCCAAGGTCAATCAAGTGAAGCAGTCAAGTGTAGCAGGACACAAAAGAAGTCTTTGTGTATTTAAAAGCAAGCTGTTATAGATACAACTTACCATTTCCCTGGCAT